CACAAACAGCCAATGCAACCCTGAGCAAAAAGAACGAAGCTGAAGGCATCACACTACCTGACATCAAAATATACTAAAAGGCTATAGTAACTATTAATAAAACAGTATGGTTTTGGCATAAAAGCTGACACAGAGACCAATGGAACATAATAGAAAGTCCAGAAATAAATTCACACACCTATGACCAACTAATTTCAACAAAAGTACCAAGAATACACACTGGGAAAAAAGACAGTCTCTTCAATGAACAGCACTGGGAAAAACAGCCACATGCAGAAGAATGAGACTGGACCCCTACCTCTCACAATATACAAAAGTCAATTCAAAATTGATTGCACACTTAAATATAAAACCTGAAACTATGAAACTAGAAGAAAACAAAGGGAAAGTACTTTATGACAATGAGATGGGCAGGGATTTTTTTAAATAAGACCTCAAAAGCAAAGACAAAAAAAGCAAAAATAGACTGAGGCGATTACATCAAAATGAAAAGCTTTTGCACACAAAATAAACAAAGTAAAGCAGACAGCCTACAAAATGGGAGGAAGTATTTCCAAATTCTACATCAGACAAGGGGTTAATATCTAAACTACATGAAGAACTTAAACAACAAGAACAAAAACAAAATAGCCCAATTTAAAATTAGGCAAAAGACTGTAATAGACATTTCTCAGAAGAAGACAATACAGATGGCCAACAGGTACATGAAAAAATATTCAACATCACTAATCATCAGGGAAATGCAAATCAAATGGGGATACCACCTCTCTTTACTTAGAATGACTATTATCAAAAAGACAAAAGAAAACAAGTGTTGGTAAGCATGCAGAAAAAAAAAATACTTAATGTTGATGGGGTTGTAAATTGGTATAGTCACTATAACAAACAGTGTGGAGATTCCTAAAAAGTTAAAAATAGGCAGGGCACAAGGTGGCTCGCACTCATAATCCCAGTACTTTGGGAGGCTTAGGCAGGCAGATCAGATCACGTGACGTCAGGAGTTTGAGAGCAGCCTGGCCAACATGGTAAAACCTGTCTATACTAAAAATACAAAAATGAACTGGGTGTGGTGACAGGCACCTGTAATCCCAGACACTCGGGAAGCTGAGGCAGAAGAATCACTTGAACCTAGGAGGCAGAGGTTGCAGTAAACCGAGATTGCGCTGCTGCACTCCACCCTGGGAGTACAGAGACTCTGTCTCAAAAAAATTAAAATAAAAAGTAAATTAAAAGTAGAGCTACCACATGATCCAGTAATCTCACTACTGTGCATGTATCCCCCCAAAATAAAATATGTATGTTGAGGAGGTATCTGCACTCCCATATATATTAAAACACTATTTACAATAGCCAATATATGGAATCAACCCAAGTGTTCAAAAATGAATGCATGAATAAAGATAATGTGGTATATATGCACAATGGAGTATTATTTCAGTCATAAAAAGAATGAAATCCTGATATTTGCAACAACATGGAGAAAGATGGAGGATATCACGTTAAGTGAAATAAGCCAGACACAAGACAACAAATACCTCATGGTCGCACTTACATGTTGAATTAAAAAAAAAAACAGTTGCTATCACAGATGCAGAGAGTAGAACGCTGGTTACCAGACACTGGGGTGGGGCTGGGAAGGGGAGGATAAGAAGAGGTTGGTCAATAGATACAAAGTAACTATTATATAGAAGAATAAGTTCTGGTGTTTTATTGCACAGTAGGGTGAGGATGGCTAACAGTAAGGTTTTGTGTACTACAAAATGGCTAGAAGAGAGGCTTTTGAATGCTGTCATCATAAAGAAATGATAAATTCATGAGGTGATGGGCATATCCTGATTTGATCATTTTATCATATACATGTAGTATCAAAACATCAAATTGTACCTTGCATTAATAAAAAATAAAAATATAACAAACTTGAGGTACTCACATTTCCTGATTTCAAAATTTACCAGACAGCTACAGTAATTAAGACAGTGTGGTGCTCACATTAGAAAAAATATATAGGCCAAATAAAATTGAGGTTCCAGAAATAAACCCTCAAATTTACTGTCAACTGCTTTTTAACAACGATGCTAGGACAATTCAATGAAGAAAGAACAGTATTTTCAGAAAAATAGTTCAGGACAACTGGACATCAAAATGCAAAATAATCAAGTTGGACCCACAGCTAATCCTAGTTAAGAAAGAAAATGGACCAAAAACCTAAATTTAAGATTTTAAACTCTAAAACTCGTAAAAGAATACACATATATAAATCTTCAGAACCTTGAATTAAGCAATAGTTTCTTAGATATGACACCAAAAGCACAAGAAACAAACAAACAAAAAAAACAAAATGGACTTCATCACTATTTAAAACTTTCTTTAATTCAGAGTACAATTAAGAAAATGAAAGACAACCCATACAATGGTTAAACATTATTTAAAATGGTTAAAAATTATATTTCTGATAAGGAGTTTTTATATAGAATGGAAAACACTTAAGACTGAATAATAAAAACACAAATACCCCAATTTAAAAATGGGCAGATTTAAACAGACATTTCCCCAAAGAAGATACACTGGCCAATAAGCACAAGAAAAGATCCCCACATCATTAGTATCTAGGAAAATGTAAATAAAACTACAATAACATGGCATTTCACATCCACTAGCATGACTATAATCAAAAGCTCCGACAATAAGAACTGTTGGGGAGGATGTGAAGAATTGTAATCTTCATAAACTACTGGTGGCAATCTAAAATGGTACAATAACTTTGGAAAACAATTTGGTGGTTCCTCAAAATTTTAAACACAGAGTTACCATGTGACCCAGCAATTCCACTCCTGCATATATACACAAGTGAAGTGAAAACACGTCCACAGAAAAATCTGTACACATATGCTAATCCATACCATTATTCATAACAGCCATGACAGGACTCAAGACACACTACCCCCAAATATTTTAAAGTGAAGAAATCTGAGAAAAATGCAGAAATAGAAAGGTTACTCTCTGACCTTCTCCTTTCTCCTCTGAAGCAGGTCATAAGACCCTCATTCAACAGGTGCTCTCCTTATATCCTTTATCTCTGAAGACAGTTTCTGGTGAAGATGAGATGCCTACTTACTCTAACAGCCTACAAATGAGATCCTGAGACACTGACAAAAAGCTAGCAGAAAAGTAAGAATTCTCACAAAGGCCTGCTCTTCTGGATCTCTGCCTTAAGTACCCGATCAAGAGAAGACAATTGAAAAAGAAAAAAAACTTCTCATCCCATACTCTCCAGATTCAGATTCACAGAAGGAAACATTTGTTTGGTTTGTGACTCTTGTATAAATTTAGTTTGGGGTACTCATTACCTGTAGATCCCTTCCCTCCTAGGGTCAGCTATTGCTTTCCTATTTTTCTCATTTTGTATACTGAGAACCTGGCTTGACTTCCCACCCGTTGGAGATGTGTGAGATGTCAGTTTTGTGTATGAAGGCAGCCAACTTCAAGTTGGGGGCCCAAGAATACAGCCAGACAAAAATGTGACTTGCCCTCCATTTACAGCTAGCTTACCAACTATTACCAACTCTGACAGGGAGTTGGGAGTAGGGAGACTATCTGGGTCTTTCTTTTGACTATCCTTGGAATGGTTCTAGGTCTTTGGAGGATCGCTTCTCAGCTTTTTGGCTGTGATCAAGTGTAGATCTTGGGAGGGCTGCATCTTTTTATACCCTCTTTCAAGGATTCTCTTCATCCATGGTAAGACATAAAAGGCTTATTGGTTTGGGTTATGAGTCACTTAATGGATACCCTTGGTTTAAAAAGCTCAATACTGCCAGGAATATTTACTGTTTTTCTAGTTCAAACCTGATAGTAGGATACTTTGAGGCCACTCTGTTCTCTGTTTTGTATCTTGCTTCTCCCACAGGAACTTAATTGCTAGAAATCCCTCTTCACAAAGCTCTGCTGACTATATGTACTTCCTATTCCGTCCACTTCCTTCTTGTTGGAACTTCATTGACCTCTTTGGGAAGCTTGAGATCTCCCTAAACTGGTACCTCTAAGACTTCTCCTCTCCATTTGCTTCTGCTTCTCCTTCCACCTTTTCTTACTTTCATTCTTTCATTCAGTTCCCCTGAATCCTTGATATGTCCACTTTCAAGCCCCAACCTCCTCCCATGCCTCTGTCCCACCTGTTAGACCTATTCCCTTCCTACTCCAGCCCCTCAATCACTTGAATTTTAAGCCCCTTGCTCTCAACAGACTTAAAGTCTTCCCAAAACAACCTGAGACTGAAAAAAAAAGCCTCCATAGGCCGGGCGTGGTGGCTCACACCTGTAATCCCAGCACTTTGGGAGGCCAAGGCAGGTGAATCATGAGGTCAAGAGATGGAGACCATCCTGGTCAACATGGTGAAACCCCATCTCTACTAAAAATACAAAAAATTAGCTGGGCACGGTGGCGCATGCCTGTAATCCCAGCTACTCAGGAGGCTGAGGCAGGAGAATTGCCTGAACCCAGGAGGCAGAGGTTGCGGTGAGCCGAGATCGCGCCATTGCACTCCAGCCTGGGTAACGAGAGCGAAACTCCGTCTCAAAAAAAATAAAAAAATATAAAAAATTTTAAAAAGCCTCCATAAGATTACATGTCAGGGCAAAACATATCAGGGCAAAACAACCTGAGATGAAAAAAGCTACAGCCTCTGTAAGATTATGTATCAGGGCAAGGGAAGGTGTGAAGGTTTTCTCCACAAATACTGATAAACAGGTAATCTTAATTTTGTCCCAAATGCCAGAAACAAAGTGGAGAAAAGATGAGAGATGACTATTTTGTATAAATCAGTGAGCTGTGTTGCTATGCTTTACTCACTCATGGCTAAAATTTTTTAAATGAAAATCATAAGATCTTGGCATCTGTCTGTATGGTTATGTATTTATATCTACAAAAAGGTGTTGAGTTTGTATTATGTTATTTTTCCAATAGTAAAGAAGTGACTTAACCCAATAGCAACAACAAAAGCTTACCATGGTTTCAATGATGATGGTGAGGTTCCCTAAGCCATCAGTTAGAGCTACGTAACTTCCTCCTTTCTCTAAATGGCCAACTGTCTTCAGGTAATACCATCCAGGTTGAGTAAACTGAGTGGTATGAGCTATAGAAAAATAGAAAGACCCAAATAAGATAAAAATGGTAATAACAGTGTTTCTTTAAAAGAAAAAAAAGCTGGATATCAATTTGAGTCTGATTGATTCTAACAAGCTATTTTCATGTTTAAATTTTTAAATAATTCAATATATGGTACAATTGCAAGAAGATTCCTGGAATGATGGACAAAATAAATGAAGCTATCAGTTCAAGAATACAATTAGTATCTTTTTTTTAAGAACAATATAGTTATTCCCTCCCAATCTTGGTTCATCCCTATTTAACCCATCCTAAAATAGCTACCAAAAAAAAAAAGCTTAAAAAAAGTTAATAATGAATTTCAAAAACTAACTTTCATGGTTTCAAATATATTTATTTCTACCACATGTATATTTATTGGTGTCCTCCTAAGCTGGTCCTGAAGATGTACTAAGCAGTATACCAAGTCCCAACCCTTAGAAAAGTCACAAAATTAAAAGAGTATAGTAGTCTCAAGCCTGTAATCCCAGCACTTTGGGAGGCTGAGATGGGTGGATTACGAGGTCAAGAGATCGAGACCATCCTGGTCAACATGGTGAAACCCCGTCTCTACTAAAAAAATACCAAAAAAATTCGCTGGGCATGGTGGCGCATGCCTGTAATCCCAGCTACTCGGGAGGCTGAGGCAGGAAAATTGCCTGAACCCAGGAGGCAGAGGTTGCGGTGAGCCGAGATCGCGCCATTGCACTCCAGCCTGGGTAACAAGAGCAAAACTCCGTCTCAAAAAAAGAGTACAGTAGTTCATCTAGATGATGTGGGACCAACAATTTCAACATTTGAAGGGTTAATATACAAGTATTAACTTAATTTTCTCATGTTCTGGGGAGGACAATTAAAGGAGTTTAGAATAATACCATGATCACATAATTAATATGATTACAAATCTGCTTTGGAGAGCACAACTAAAGGGAAAACCACCACATTTAAGTTTAAAATAAAAAGAAATTCACTTCAAATTCATGATTTTCTTCCAAAAGCATTTTACCTTTAAAGAAATTGGCTTTTTAGAAAGATTGTTAGAATTTTAAAACAAAATAGTCTCAATGTTTAATCTTTTACCAAAAAAAAAATGTAGAAAAAATTTCAGTATTATTCAGCAACAGATTTTGTTATTTTGTTTAAATTACAGTCACTCCTAGTACAGTTATATCTCTCCATGAAAAAGTGATACTAAGCCATCCATCCCTGCAAAATGTCAACCTCTCTTGTGACTAAAAAATGACACTGTAGTAAAACTTTTGTGGTTCAATAAAACTGGATGTATTATCTATAGCTCTATTCATTGTCTCTGAGCTATGTAAATTGTCTTGTCTAATAGAAATGTAATTGATTTCTTCCCTATTGTAAGAAACCCGATTTGCCTCCATTGACAATTCATCTCCAGTTCTCTTATTCTACAAAAACATTGTGCTATGTTGACTTTTCATTTGAACTGTTTATAATATCTGCCATCTGCCAGGATCCTTCGTATCATATAAGTACGTACCATAAAATCTTCAGTATGTACTCATTTTTAAAATCTATATGAGCTACACTGTTACCTATTTTGAAAATTACCTTTTCACAACACACACCAGTAGATTTAGGGGACAATATAAAGCCATATTTCACATAACTTTCATATTTACTTATTCATTTGATGATTCAATAAATACAGCATTTTTTAATCATCTACCTTTGATTTTGCTAGCATATTATTTTAATCAAAACTACAATATTATTAATATAAAAGAACAAAGTGTCTCCAAAGCTAATTTTAAGACTTCTACTCTTTTTATAAATACATAATTTTAGTAGCAATTATCATAGTTTGTAATTATATCCTTAGATGATTATTTATTTCTGTCTCTGTCACTACACAGCTCTCCCTTTCCCTCTCTCTCTCCTCATCTCCTACACTTTTCTAAAAGCCTAGTCTTAGAATAACCAGAGAGTAGTCTAGTTACCCAAAATATTTTTATAAAACACTGGCAAATCTTGCTTAGAGACACATATTAAAACCCACATAGACACCCAGTTCATATTATCTTCTTTAAGTGTTTTTCTGCTTTGTCTCTTAGAGAAGAATTTAGAGAGTGAGAGATGGAACTGAACCATACCTGACACCCAGACAGGAGATTCTACCACGTAGTGCCCACTCCATGGCTCCTGAGCTGTCATCAACCCGCATCTCCCGTAAGGCAACTGTTCATAGTAACTAGCCACTAAATTCCATGCGATTGTGCTAAAAGATTTGTTTGATAAGAAAAGAAATACCAAGGCAACTTGTGATAAAAATATAAATGTCTAAAAACCTGGAGAAAAAAGATTTTATCATAGTAATACACATCTACATAAATGACAATAAAAGGATCACCTAAAATAAGAAGTTGTCTAAATTCATTCACTTTTTGAAAAATCCAGTGTTGGCTATATTTTAATATTTTTCATGGTGAATCACGACAAAAAATACAAATGTATTATGTGCAAAATTTTTACTGAACAATAATGGTACAGCCAAAAGACGAATCATACCCTACCAGTACCTGACACATCACAAATTTGAGTCAAATACAAATACAGGCTTTTTGCATACCTACTTACCTTTCAACAGTGAGCCTTCTTAATACCCCCGTTTCATGACATAATTTTTACGAACTTGACTCTGAACTGTTCCAAAGTTTTACAACTGAAAACTCTTAATCAGACTGCCTGGGTTTCAACCATGGTTTCACCACTTAACCTCTCTGTAAAATGAGGATAATAATTATATCTCTCTCATGTGATTGTTGTAAGGATTAAATGTACTAATGCATAGGAAGAGTATGGAACAAGGTCTGGACTGTAGTATTGCTATTAAATATTATTCTACTTCATCTACAAGTAGTAATTGGATCCACTTGCTGATCTGCTTTGTGGCCCATTCTTTCTCAGATGATCAGGCCCTAACAGTCCAGAGCATGTGCTAAACCCTAAAAATTTGACTCTCTGGTTCTCAGGAAATCCAAGGACAAAAGGGAAGTTTTTGAACTTGGTATTGTTGGGTTCCTCACTGATTAAAAACCCACAGAGCTTACCCACAGAATTTTATTTTTCTTAATCAAGACCTTATTGGGGGGAAATAGTGGAGGGACAGTGAGGGGGTGGGGAGTTGGGGAGAGATAGCATGGGGAGAAATGCCAGATACAGGTGATGGGGAGGAAGGCAGCAAATCACACTGCCATGTGTGTACCCATGCAACAATCTTGCATGTTCTTCACATGTACCCCAAAACCTAAAATGAAATTTAAAAAAAGACCTCATCCAGCATAAAAAAAAAAAAGACTACCATTCTTAGCAAATCAAAACCTTCTAATTCTATCAATACAAAGTAGAAATAACGGTCCTAATTTTCAAAACACCTTACCACTAGTGAATATTTTAAGTTCTTACGATTTTGCTCTTGGTTTGCAAGATGCATGGTATCCTTTCTGGCTAGTGATAGAGTATTAATCAAGACAAACTTTATGGAGGGCATTTTGTAAAATACATACAAAACCTTTCAAAATCTATGTATCTCTGACCATTTCATTTCTAAAAATACATTCTAATAGTCATGGGCATGTACAAAGATATGTGTATACAATCGATCATTTCAGTTTGTACAAAGCTATTAATTAAAATAAAGACAACTTCCAATTCTAAAAACAGGGAAATATTCAATGAGGAATAATATATTTTCCACATCAGTGTTTCCCAACTTGTGTGGCATCAGAATCACTTTGGGACACTGACTAGATGGACAGAACCCCACCAGCCTTCCCTGTAGATTCTGATTCACTAAGTCTGGGCAGCTGCCAAGGAGTAGCTATAACAAGTGTCTCAAGTGCTTCTTAAGGCAAGATTTAGAAATAGTGCCTTATGTAACAGAATATTTAAAAATGCATTTACAGCATTAAAAATGATGAAGTAGAAATACAACTAAATGGGAAAAAAAGTTCCTAATGTCATGTCAAGTGAAAAGCACCTTTTTAAACAGATTCTATAGTATGGTCTCAATTTTATATTAAAAAATGTATACGTGCCAATATAAAATAGGAGGACATACACTAAAATTGTTAAGGATACTTAGCTCTGGATCATAAGACTGTAGATGATTTTCCTTCTTTCTTTTTACCTATCTTCAGTTTTCTAAATTCTCTGCCACGAAGATGCCTTACCCTCAAGACCAAATCAAGTTATAACTGAACTCTCCATGTCTTTTCTTTCAGAAAAAGGACAATACAATATATGGCAACCCACATTATATCACAACAAATATATATATTGGTTTGCTTTTGTTCTATTTATCATTATTTTAGAAAGTTAATTGGATCTATTCACAATTCAAGTGTTTTTCAAAGCACTTAAGAAATGCTTCCCTTAGAAACAAAAACAGTTGTGTTCTCCCTTAAGAATATCTGTTTTTTAAACAAACAATTACACACATTAATGCCATGAGGAATCAATCAGACAGGCTGGGAAGCAGACAGTCCATAAGACAACCAACCTGGTCTTTTCAAAAAATCACTGTCATCAAAAATGGGGAATAAGGAAACTACTCTAGACTTGAGTGGTGTAACTTCTAAATGCAATATGTGTGTGCCTGATTATTCCTTTTCTTTAAAAAAGCTACAAATGGCATTTTGGGTGAACAGTTTTAAAAATCTGAATATAAACTGCATATTAAAAACATTCTCATGTATAAAAAATGTTATTGTGATCATGTAGGAGAATATTCTTATGTTTTGGAGACACATGCTAAAATATTCAGAGATAAAGTGTCCTTACATATATAATTTACTTTGTAATTATTTTTAAAAATATATGTAGCTTGTCAAAAATCTGAGAGCTGCATATATTTTGCTACATATAAATTATACCTTAATAAACCTGACTTTAATATAGACTATATTCAAATATAGAAAATTAGACATAGATGAAGTATAAATATAAAAATAGAAGATGATAAGGCAAAATGTTTACAATCATTGAATCTATGTTATAAGACTAAGAAAGTCCATTTTTTCTATGTTTTCAAATTTTTTATGATATAAACTCTAAAAGTTTTTTAATAACTTACGAAGTCATATAGCCATTGATGTAATTCTGATTTAAAATGCGACCCCAGCAGCCTGCACCCGTGTCACTATTTAAAGTGCTAAAGTCTTCAGAAGACCAAAGCTTCTTTCCAGTTAATTGTGCATCTTTTACTGTATGGGTTCCAGGATAATGAGCCCTAGAAAAAAAAAGGGTGGGAGTCAGTGGAAAATGGTCACAATGTGGCACTTATATACATTTATTGAGTGTATAAAAATACAAGTCTTCTCCAGGGTTTTCTATTTTTAAACAGTTGGGTAGCTTCCAGGTAGATAATGAATGAAAGCATCTGCTTTATGCCCTTCTGTCTCTGCATGCCAATAAAATGACAGCAAAGAAAACAAAAGGGGATAAACCTACAACAGCATACAGGATAGGAAGGAAAATCATCAATAGATAAGAAATTTCAATCTATTTCTGGAAATCACAAAATTAATGGAAGCATGTTGAAGAATGGAGAGAGCAGAGAGGGCCACAGCCTAGAACACTCCAAGAGGAAATGAAGTAAAGATAAGAGTCAGACTTCCCAGGGGAAGCTAAGGAGCTTGAGGCAATAGTAAATGAGTGAGGAGGAAGCCAAAAAGAAGACTAGTGAATCTATTATATAAAGTAGTACTCTCCCCGTTACTCCTTTCCTTAGAACACAGAAAGACAGCTTGGTATTTACTCCCAGGCCAAAAACAAAACAAAACAAAAAACAAAACCCACAAATGGTTATTTCTTGAATAAAAATAATAAACTACCATGGGAAAACTAGAAATTACTGTAACAGAGCAGTGGTGGTTCTCAACCTAGATGATTTTTGTCCCTGGAGGGGATATTTGGCAATCTCTGGAGATATTTTTCAACTGTTTCACCTGGGGTTGGGGATATTTGCTACTGGAATCTAGTGAAGAGAGGCCAAAAATGCTGCTAAAAATCCTACAATGCACAGGACAAACCCTATAACAAAAAATTATCCATTGAATCAATAGGGCAGCGGGTGAGAAACTGCCCCAGAAAATGAAAGCCTCCTTCATTCTAGCATTTGATGGGAGGGGAGTCAGTCAGTGGAGGTATAAGAATAAAATACCCCCATAACAATGATTGTGGAAAATACTGATTATAGGAATAAAAACAATAATAAATTTTAAATGTAAAATAGAAAATAGATTGACAAGCCAATAGGAAATCACACTAGCTAAATAACTAGGAATAAGAGCATCTACTTTTTAGATTAAGAATTATTTACAAAAAAAATACAAGCAGAATAATGGAGATTAAGTTAAATCATAATTCTAACCTTTGTAGTTTGGTGTAACAGCATTTATAACATCAAAAGAATGATTGTAAATACTTGCTTTACTTTTTAGTCATTTAATTCCATTTTAGGTCAAGAATCTTTTAGGAAAAAAATCCTATCTCGTAATTTTTTATACCTAGTGAAGATGAATTAAGGCACAATATCAATTTAGCATCCCAGGATTTCATGAGTAAGAAAATAATATACAATATATATCACAGTACTTAAAAGGAAGTATTAGAGAAAAACGAGGTTCCACTAAGATTTTACTGAGTCACTAAACTCAGGTGAAAGCAGGCATCTATTCAATATTACAATTATACACTACAAAGATACCAACAGAAGTCTAGCATCTAACAGGACTAAGTATTCATTGTTCTGGTAATAAAACAACCAACCTGAAAAAATCTGGCTACTAGCCTTTTAAGTAATATAAATTCAAAAAAATTACATTTTAGATTTATTCTTCTATTCCACAACTTCATTCTACTTCCATGACATTCAGCTTTGGTACCTCAGCCAAATGTTAATTTTAAGACTCATCTACTTGTCATCAGCTGTCTGGTTGCTAAATGCATGTTTGGTGTCTTTGGTTAAAATATATTTCTCTATTAAAGAAAACCCTGGAAAGTAATATGCTAGCATATTACCAATAATCAGTAGATGTTAGGATTATGAGTAAATTCTACCTTTACACTTCTCTACATTTTCCAAATTTTCTATAATGGCAAAATGAAAGAGTAACTTTATTGAAGTTATAGGAATAGGCAGTATATCCTTCATTCAGAAAATGATGAAACTATTCCTACAGTCAAAGCCCAAATGATTTATTACATGGTCTGAGCAAAGAAAGGCAGAACTAATACTAAATTCTTGGTCTTTCTCAATGTATAGATTTATTGCCAGTGTAACAAAATGTAAAGTCTCTTTAAGAATAAAAAATTTTAATGTATATAATCAGACAAAAATTCTTTACCATTTGCAGTATTATTTTTCAAACTTCAATGACAGATAAAATTAATCTCATTGAAAGTGAACCAACTTTATAGTTTATCCTAACAGAGGAACATATTTGTACTTTAAAAAATTAAGAATTTCTGGCCAAGGCAGAACATGACAGTAGCCTAGTTTCTGAAGTTCCTCAGTACTTTTCCTGAAACCAAATAGACCAACCAGATAAAGGAAAGGAAAAACTCACAGATAATACTTTCATTAAACCAGATGACAGGGACTCCCAGGAGCCCCACAGCATCAGAAATGGCCCAGGATCAGCAGATGGTATACGGAAACTGTATAAGTGAAAGGGAACTGGCCCACACTCACACAAAAGGAGTAGATCCTACCCTAAGCGGGGGCATAGAAGACCAACTCAGGAAATTGAGAACATCTTTACAGGCTTGAAGTTAGGGATGAATGCTCAAAACAGTAAATTCATTAGGAAATCAAACCCAATATTGTAACAGTTCAAATCAGATTTGTCCATTAGAAATATGATGTGAACCACACATATAATTTTAAATTGTCTAGCAGCCACATTAAAAACATGCAAAGGTCCTTACCACAATAAAACACATAAATGAAAAAAAATTAATTTAATTTTAAAAGCAGAAAATCATGGAGAAATAATTTTTTTTTTCTTTGAGACAGAGTCCTGCTCTGTACTGCTCTGTCACTAGGCTGGAATGCATTGGCATGATCTCAGCTCACTGCAACCTCTTCCTCCCAGATTCAAGTGATTCTCCTGCCTCAGCCTCCCAGTAGCTGGGACTACAAGCACACCCCGCCATGCCCAGCTAACTTTTGTATTCTTAGTAGAGACAGTGTTTCACCATGTTGGCCAGGATGGTCTCCATCTCTTGACCTCGTGATCCGTCCACCTCAGCCTTCCAAAGTGCTGAGCCACTGTGCCCGGCCAAGAAAATAATTGTAATAATATATTTAACCCAATATATCCAAAGTATTATCATTTAACATGTAATCAGTGTAAAACAATCATAAATAATATTTTTATATTCAATCTTCAAAAGCCAGGGTATATTTTATACTTATAACACACCTAAACTTATACTGGCCACATTTCAAGTATTTCATAAACATATGTGACTAGTGGCTACTGTATTGAACAATACAGGGTTAAGCAATAACAATTTCAGGAGAAGGTAGCAAAAATCAGGAATGGTAGACCCTCAACATGAAAATAAGCACTTTGAAGTAGAATCCAAATTGAATAAGGCAGGAATACTTTGTGTGATGGAGAACAACTTTCAGTCAGTAAACAGACCCAGCATAAACAGACCCTAGAAAGTACTGTAACTGTAGAATAAAAATCTGCAGATATAGCACAGGCCAAGCACAACATGAATGGGGCAGGGAGGAATCTTCTATGAAGATGTGAGCCAAAAAATAGCTCCTGAACAAAATTCTAATAGCCAAAAATTGGAAACAGTCCAAATGACCATTAACAAATAATACAGAGATAAGTTGTGGTGTGCTCCATTTAGCATCCAACAATTGGATGCTAAATATGAACTACCTCTATATATAACAACATGCATTAATCTCACAAATTTATATAATATTGGCTGAAATAACAGTTACTATAAGATACCATTTAAATAAAATTTTTAAACAGGCAAAATTAGTCCATGGTGTTAGAGGTCAGATTAGTGGTTATCTTTAAGGCAGAAAGAGAGGTTAATGATTGGAAAGATTTCCAAGGAAAAATCTTTCCAACAGGAGGTATCAGTAACCAAGCTTCTTAGGCACTGATAATTTTCTGGGTGGTGGTTAGTTACATAGGTATGTTCACTTTGTGATCATTCATGGAGCTATAATCCTATGATTTTTGTACTTTTATATATGTACGTATGTATGCTGCAACACATTATAAATTTTTATAACAAAAATTTTTAAAGATGAATTGTTAAAGATATAGGAAACTAAAGTGAAAGAATTATAGAAGAATTATTTTTAAAAACACATTTTAGAAATGAAGACTAAACTAGAAGGAATATAAGACAGAACAGACACTATGGAAAATGCAGTAAAGAATATAGAACAGGCTGGGTGCGGTGGCTCAAGCCTGTAATCCCAGCACTTTGGGAGGCCGAGACGGGTGGATCACGAGGTCAAGAGATCAAGACCATCCTGGTCAACATGGTGAAACCCCGTCTCTACTAAAAATACAAAAAATTAGCCAGGCATGGTGGCGCGTGCCTGTAATCCCAGCTACTCAGGAGGCTGAGGCAGGAGAATTGCCTGAACCCAGGAGGCGGAGGTTGTGGTGAGCCGAGATAGAGCCATTGCACTCCAGCCTGGGTAACAAGAGCAAAACTCCATCTCAAAAAAAAAAAAAAGAATATAGAATAGTAAACATTGGAAAATATAAATAGAGAAAAATTCAGAGAAATACAAAATAAAGCCATATGCAAATAAGACCAAGATGTATAACTGGAGCTTCTAAAATGTAGACCAAAATAGTGGTGCAGAATAATAATTTAACTTATAACTTAAGTAAACCTTACTGAAGTAATACTTATATATAGATATTAAGAGGGTGCTAATTCAAGAAGGAGATGTTAAGAAAAAAAAAAGAGGCCCTTACCATATATCTGGAAATAGTGAAGTATATACAACAACTAAGCTTTGAAAGATAAATAAAAATATTCTTTGGACATAACAGGAATTGTGTCAAGTTACTTGTAAGTAAAAGGAAATATCTCTGGAGTCAAAATTAATAGCAACATTTTATGTAAATAACAAATGGAACAAAGTTTATGATACTCAAGGATTAAAAAAGGATTATATCCAGTCAAACTGTCCTTCAAGTATAAAGGTCATGGATAAACATCAATAAATATCTAAACACATCAAGATATACTGCTTCCATTAGCACTCTCTGAGACATGTAACAGATAAGTACACTTCTGGCATCCAAGAAACCAAGGGAGAAACTTCGGCAAAAGACTTGAAGGCAAGCATTTAATATGTTTAATAATAGCGCTAGATTAAAAGAAATAATTAAACAGCATATAAATATTATACACTTGGCTAAAGTACAACTAATATAGCTACATAAAATAGGACAAGAGATAAAGAAGGTGAAATGTAAACTAAGTTTGCAGATTATTTGGGAGTAAACAGTTACAACTTGCAGCTGTCAAACGAATATAGTAGAAGGTTAAGTTCATGTAAGTTCATATGAGTACAAAAATTAAAACTAAGATAATTCTGGCAATTAAAACTCCATGGTAGGGGAGAAAAGGGGAGAAAGAAGTTATCAAATGATTTTAGTACTGCTTATAATAAATCCATAGACAATAACTAAATAAAGAGGAAACCAAGAGTATTAGTATGAAGCAGTTCCTTGACTTCACCATTAATATTTTGGGCTGGATAATTTTTATGGGAAAACTATCCTGTGTACTAGGATGTTTAGAAGCATTCATGGCCTCCATCCATTGGATTCCAGTGGCACCACCCTATGTATTTGTGGCGATTAAAAAGAGTTCCAAGCACTGCCAAATGTCCCCTGGGAGGCAAAATTATTGCCAGCTGAAAATACTGATATAAAGGTATAAATCAGTATAAATATAACTGATAGAACCAAATATAAACCTTGCCAAATAACAAAAGAAACACCTCCTTAAGTACAAAGTAAACAAATTACATACCAGGATAGCTTGTATTACTACATGCATAGTATAAATCATTCAATAACAAAAGACAATATAGTAACATAGAAAACACAAATATCAAGTTATATCTAAAAATGAGTTTAACTCATTCATTAAAATAAACATTTTCAGAGGAGCTTCAAAAAAGCAAAATCTAACTCCATGCTATATGCAAGCAATGCACCTAAAAGAAAATGCCCTTGAAAGGTAAAGAATAAAAGGGCAAAAATATATCAGGCAAATACTAATGCAAATAAAGCAGGGATCTCTTAGTCACACAGAAAGTAGAATTCAAATCAAGAAGCTTTAAACAAGACAAAGAATGGCATTTTCTAATGATAATTAATAGTCATAAATCATAATAAAGATAAAACATTCATCAGTATTTATGTACCAAATAACAAAGCAGAAACTTCCACACAGCAAAAACTGCATAAGATTGAAAAGAAGAAATAGATCCCACTAATACAAGGAAACAAACACACTTGGTATCCCTAAATAGTTCAAGTGGACAAAATAGTTAAAATACAAACTACCTGAACACTATAATCAAAAAAGTAGATATTATACACTCAATTCTATATCCTAATAAAGAATGTATCTTAAAAGTCAAAATATGAGATAGTCAAAAAAATGTGAAGGTTTTTTCAGATTTTTTTTTAATAAGCTCCTGAGAAATTTCCAAAAAAAAAACATAAATAACTCATTTGGTATTAAATGGCCACAATGTAATAATATTAGAAATTAATGATAAAACAGCCCTATGAGATAAAGCTAAAGCAGTACTCAGAGGAATATTCATTACATTAAAATGCCTATATCAATTAAAAAATGAAGTACACATCTAAATCCTTCATGAAGATACAGTAAAACTCATACTTCCATATATTTTCATAAGAAAATATATTTAAGATGAACACAAGTTTGTTTTCCTTCAAGACTTCAAATATTTATGAAAGCTTTAACAATAACAGCAAAAATTTCATTTTAATCTCAGTGTATAAAATGTTTAAATATAATGAAGAAATGTAATTTATCTTGCAAAAAAATTTAAGCCTAAATCTAACCTAATCACACCTTTACCAATTTCAAAATCATTAAAAAAGGATAGATGAAGGCCAGGCACAGTGGCTCACGCCTATAATCCCAGCACTTTGGGAGGCTGAGGCAGGTGGATGACAAGATCAAGAGATCAAGACCATCCAGGCCAACATGGTGAAACCCCGTCTCTACTAAAAAATACAGAAATTGGCTGGGCGTGGTGGTGCGTGTCTATAGTCCCAGCTACTTGGGAGGCTGAGGCAGAAGAATTGCTTGAACCTGAGAGGGAAAGACTGCAGTGAGCCGAGATCGCATCACTGCACTCCAGCCTGGCACCTGATAGGGGTGAAATCAGTAAAATCCAGACTGACAGAAAGTTTACAAGATAACCCCCTTCTTCAACAAATTAAAAGAAAGAAAAAGAGCAAGAACCTAAAGATCAGAAAAGATTTAAATATCAACCAATTCACAATGTATGAATTTTAAAGGGCTCCAGATTCAATCAAATAAAATTTTAAAATAATAATGAATATTTAATAATATCAAAAAACGATTACATTTTAGGTGTAATAATGGTATTGTTTGTGGTAACTAAAAAAAATCCTTATCTTTGGAGATACATACACAGTAATATTTTTATGGGAGAAATAATATAATGTCTGGGGTTCATTTCAAGGTAACATAGGGAGGAAGGGAAGAGGAGTAGATAGGTGCATGGATGAAGAATTGTCCATGGGTTCATAGTTCAGGAAGCTGAGTGATAAAAACATAGATATTCGTTGTATTATTCTGCCTATTTTTGTGTATATTCAAAACCTTTCTTTAAAAGTAAGGCACATGGAGAGCTCAATCAGTCTTCACACTGGATAAAGAATGAATTCTACACACACACACACACACACACACACACACACATATTATATTTTTCAAATGCTTATATCCTGTGTCATGGTAGATAAAACGTAAATTCACTTTTTAAAAAAATGAATCCAACGAGGTCAAGGCCCAGAGGGCTAAAAGGCAGAAATGAAATAAGGAGTAGGGGTCAAAACTATACTACTAAGGAAGCATGAGAAAAGTTATGGTCAGTGACCATAATGAACCATTTACAAATGTGTTCATGCAAGAACCTCCAGCCACAGAATATCTAAGAGTTAGAAACTAATTTCACAACTCTGTCTTTACAATTTCTAAAATTAAATACAGGTATTATTCTGCCCCTTAATCTAAAACAAAGCCCTGTTTTATTATTCCAAACATCAACATGTTTTTTAAAAGTTATCAATACGTATTTGTCATAGAAAGATCCTAAAATACATTTAAAAGAGAAAGTAATGAACTATGAGCTATGCGTGGTTCAGGTAAGTAAATACAGGAGCGCTACCTTCTGAAAATGTAATCAAATGGGGAAAAGGCAAGAAAAATATAGTCAATACACAGAGCAAGCAACCAGAAAGTGCTAGTTTTCCAAGTAAAACATGCCTTACCCTATAACATCAATCGCCTTTAAGAGTTCGGCATCAAGCAGCATGGAAGCTGAAATGGACTCCCAGAGACTATCACTTGCTATGATTTTCACTTGCTGGAGACCTTGATAGTTCAACATTTTTCTTAATACCTTTTAAAGTAATAAATAGAACATAAGAAAGGATACAAATGAATTTTTAGCTGTCGAATTTATGACCAAGATAGATGAAGTATCATTAAAAATCAGCATTCTGGAAAATAGCTTTTTTTTTTTCTCTGAGACAGAGGCTTGCTCTGTCACCCACGCTGGAGCACACTGGGACCATCTCAGCTCACTGCAGCTTCTGTCTCCTGAGTGCAAACAATTCTTCTGCCTCAGTCTCCTAAGTAGCTGGGATTACAGGTACATGCCACCATGCCCAGCTAATATTTGTATTTTTTAATAGAGACGGGGTTTCACCATGTTGGCCAGGCTGGTCTTGAACTCCTGACCTCATGGATGATAACTTCAATACTATATTTTCTCAATAGAAACATGCTTTTTATGGAAAATAAAAGCATTATCATTAAAATAACCTACTTTACTAGGAATGTAAAATGAAAAAAAAAACAGAAGGGGTAAAGTGTGTTAGAAGATTTTCACTTTGACTTTAAAATTACATTTAACCGTAGAAATATGGGGAGTGGGAAACCGAAATAAAAATCCAATAGTACTACCCCAAAATAACCACCATTATTTTGCTATGCATTCTTCCAGGAAGTTTCCTATGCAGACACAGTAATAAAATGGGTAACACATTAATTGTACCATTTGGCAAAATGCTTTATATTATCATTTTAAGTAATTTCCAACATCTTCAAATATTCTACCATTACTAAACCAGAGAGGAAATAAAATTTACTTGTAGGACTGTCCACCCACAAAAATTAAAAGTAACAAGCTAAATTCTAATGAGAAATTAGCAAAGCACAAACAGCATCTACTTTGGTACTCAATACTATGCTTGGGCCCCATGATGACTCTAAAACAAGTATGAGATGGAGCCTTCACCCTTAGGTGGCAAACACAATCAGCAAGACACCAAAACTAACAGGATGTATTAGAAATTCAAAGGGCAGGTACAGACCAAAATGTATGGATTGCCTATATGTAAATCAAGAGCAGAGAAAAGGATACATCATTTTATACAGCATCAGGAAGACAAGATTTCATACCATAAGCATTTCTTGATGAATGGATCCAAATAAGCCCACCATTATATCCCCAAGGACATAGAAATTTCTAGTACATAGCAGCAGATGCTCAATACTGAAGAAATTAAGAAAGAACAAAGTATTTCACAAGCTCTCTCTTCACATTCCAATTTCTCTGAACTAGGGGAATTTCAAAGTAATGTGCTCTTTTAGGAGGCAAATAATAAAAGCTCTAATTAAATCCATGGTATACTTTTCAATAGACGGTTTCTTAAAACAATAAATCATAGGATTTTAGAAAATGTGGTAAGAATTAGAGGTGGCAATCTAAGTTCATCTTTCAAACCGGATCAGTTGAGTCCTAGGACACCCTAGAAGCTGCATGAACAGATCCTTCAGAGCAAAGAGAAACCAACTCTCAAGATTCAGTAGGATTGAGAATCCCTTTCACTCTAGCAGTAGATCAATCCTGAATTTCATCACCCTGAAGCTCTCCTTATTCTTCCAGAGCAGAGGAATAGCAACTTAGTCAAATTTGCATTTTTCACTATGGCTGTATCTAGCTTTTCTAGTACTAGTGCTAGACAATCCCAGTGACTTACTTTTTTATACATTATATTTTAATAACATTCCAAAATTTACAAGTCTACATGCTGTGATTTCTAAATAAATTTCCATTCCAAAGTCATTATGAATAGCAGCATTCTTTTGAGCAGTTTTACTTAACATATTTTCAGATTGTTTTTGTTATGGAATTTTCTCCTCCAGAAAAAGCTTAAATAGAAGCTCTATTTATAAGATAAATGGAAAGGAATTTATTAAGGTTGAAAAGAATGAAGGTCCAAAGACCCACCCTTCCATTTCCATCCACTGTCCTAGATCCTAGATGAGATTTTCCAGACACAATTTCGAAAACCTAAGAACACCACTGAAAATCAAAATAAATTATAAATATCCATAGCAAAAAAAAAGGAAAACAGAAACAATACCCTTGTCATCATTATATAAATTGCTCCTTTGTATTTTATTTATTTCTACTATTAAAATTTCCTTATTCTTTCCAGGGGTCATCTTGTTGTCCCATAAAATATATATTTATTAAGGTTATCCACCTACATTTGTCATTATTGAACTCTGTGATAGGCATTTCTTTCTTTTTTTTTTTTTTTTTGAGACAGAGTTTTGCTCTTGTTGCCCAGGCTGGAGTGCAATGAAACTATCTCAGTCACTGAAACCTCCATGCCTCCCAGGTTCAAGTGATTCTCCTGTCTCAAACTCCCAAGTAGCTGGGATTACAGATGTCTACCACCACACCCAGCTAATTTTTTTGTATTTTTAGTAGAGACAGGGTTTCACAATATTGCCCAAGCTGGTCTCAAACTCCTCACCTCAGATGATCAACCCCCCTCGGCCTCCCAAAGTGCTGGGATTACAGGCATGAGCCACCACGCCTGGCCTACAATAGGCATTTCAACAAACAGAAGACAGATCCCAATAAAATCTTATTGGAAAAAAATGGCAAACACAAAGTAAAAAGATTTTGTATCCTGAGAGACTTTACTACAGGAAAACTAAAGGTTAAGAGAAAAGGAAATGAAATCTGAACTGTTTAAAACACTGAGAATGTGTCTTAAAGTAAGAATTTGTCTTTCAAACCAGGTTAGTTGAATTAGAATGCATTAGAGTCAGCAACAGACTCTTAACATTAAAAAAGTTAAAATAAAATACCACCTGGTCTTATTTCATTAGTTTAAAAGGAAATGGAAACCAGACTCTAATACTTTTAATGCTTCCCTCAAATGAAAAGAACACAAGAGAGATGTATGTATTTTCTTGTATGATCACAAGAAAATAAAACTTAAGCTTTGAAATGTCAAATTTGGGTATTTAAAAAGTTCATCACCTTTCACTATGAAGATGCTATAGCAATGCCATCCACCTGATTACAGAGTTATCCACTACACATGCACAAACTTGGCTTCTGCTCTGTCCCCTTACTGCTCTTATCAGACCTGTGCTTGTAGCAGTCATGTCTTTTCACGAATAATTCCTGTGCTCCAATCTTATTACTAGCTCCACTGCCCTGTCTCCCTCACCCCTCCTACCCACAACACCACACTCCCACCTGCCTACTTCAACCTGGAATTGACCTTGAGTTACCTAGCTCTGGCTGCAACACATCTTCTCAACCTATGCCTTCTCCATCCCTACAATGACAGATGAATGAAAATATGCCATTATTTCAGTGAATACATTAGCTTACTAATGGGGGTCAGTGGCTCCACTCTTCCTCTAATACATCTTTCATGATGTGTTTTTCCCCCAAAACCCTTTACCTCTCAGTCTTCACTTCATTGCACATGTTATGCCCCTGCCTTAGCAACGTGGAGAGTTCCTATCTTGAAGATTCAAAATATACATCACCTCCTCTGATCAATCCAGGCAGAGGTGTCTCCTCTGCGCACCTTCTAAACTTTGTAGGTGTATTATTCCATTAGAGAAATTATGACACATTTTGGCCGGGTGCGGTGGCTCAAGCCTGTAATCCCAGCACTTTGGGAGGCCGAGGCGGGTGGATCACGAGGTCAAGAGATCAAGACCATCCTGGTCAACATGGTGAAACCCCGTCTCTACTAAAAATACAAAAAATTAGCTGGGTACAGTGGCGTGTGCCTGTAATCCCAGCTACTCAGGAGGCTGAGGCAGGAGAATTGCCTGAACCCAGGAGGCCGAGGTTGCAGTGAGCAGAGATTGCACCATTGCACTCCAGCCTGGGTAACAAGAGCGAAACTCCGTCAAAAAAAAAAAAAAGAGAAAAATTATGACACATTTTAACTGTCTATATCTGATTCTATACCACCCTTCCCAATATAAAAAATCCTTTTGGGTAGAAAATAATATTCTCTATCCTTATATTCCAACCATATGCACATGCCTAACAAACTAGTGTTAAGTAAATAAATACTCTCTGATTAACTGAATGAATAGATGAAAGAAATACCTTGAACCATATCTACTTAAAAACATAAAACACTGAATTTAAAGAAAATTTTTTTCCTTAAACATGCAGGTGCAAGTATCTTTTTCGTATAATGACTTCTTTTCCTGTGGATAGATACACAGTAGCAGGATTGCTGGATTTACGAAAATATGGAACCAGCCCAAATGCCCATCAATCAATAAGTCGATAAAGAAACTGCAGTATATGTAAATACTATTCAGCCACAAAGAAAAGGAATGCACTAATGGCATTCGCAGCAAGCTGGATGTGATTGGAGACTATTATTCTAAGTGTGAAGTAATTCAGGAATGGAAAACCAAATATCGTATGTTCTCATTCATAAGTGGAAGCTAAGTTATGAGGATGCAAAGTCATAAGAATGATACAATGGACTTTGAAACTCAGGAGGAAAAGATGAGAAGGAGGTGAGGGATAAAACACTACAAATTTGGTTCAGTGTATACTGCTCACGTAATAGGTGCACCAAAATCTCACAAATTACCACAAAAGAACTTACTCATGTAACCAAATACCACCTGTTCTCCAAAAACCTATGGAAACTTTAAAAAAAATTTTTTTAACTGAAGAAAATTTTTTAAAACCTGAAATAAAATATTGTCACAAAATTATATTTCTTGGATAAGATACACAAAGTGAGACAAAAGAAACTGAAAAGTAAACTAGAGAACAGCTCTACCTGAAAAGTAAAACTGCCATTTTTTTCCAATGGCAGAAGTTATTATTCTGTTTTTCCTTTGCTGGAAAATAGCAACTATAGTAGTTACCTCGTAGGTAGGCTGTGAGAATTAAATGTAGGTAAACAGTTAGGAAAAGTGGCTCAAAAATAACACAACTGGCAGACGTTATTGCTACCTCTTTGCTAATCATGAAGAGAAACATGTACTATAATATACTCCAGTAGAAAATAAGAATAAGAACATATGCCATAAATTTTGAAAAAAGACAAAGAAAAAACTACATTTCTTGAAATCCTACAAGTCTAAAATGATATAATTGTTTCATAATATTTATCAGAATTCTAAAACTAATTTTAAAATAGAAAAATTCAACAATACCCTTTAGAAAAAGACAATTCAAGGCTCACAAAGAATTACACATGCTTTAATATTAATCACATAAACATTGTTAAGATTTTGCTTGAATTTTATGTCACAACCAGCAAAATAAATAACTGTAGTATAAAAAATATGGTATTTCCAACACAAATTTCCTACTAATTTCTGCGTTTGTAACCATAAGGAATCATTCACTCATAAGTTAAAGACATAAAGATATTAAAGTTGTACACACCTTAATATAATTGACATTATATGGCCTCTCATTCCAAATCTGCAAAACAAAGTCAAAAAAGTCTGAATTGAAAGTTCCGAAATGTCAGAAAGTACATCATTAAGATACCATTTCTGTCATCATCTTTCATATTACCTGATAAGCCATTTTTTAACCTTATGCAATATCCTGCCATATAATTTATAGATACTTATAAGATAGCATAACTTTTAAAAAATTAAAATATTATTTTTTAAAATATTAAAATACTTAGTATTTTTCAAAAAGTCATTTATTCCAAAGGTTTTAAATAATGGATTATTCATTAATTCATTCAACAAATATTGACAGTGCAACATGTGCCAAATATTGACAGCACAACGTGTGCCAGAGACTATACTAGGCATTGGAAAAGTAAAAGATACGGAGACTATTATAACAACTATGACAAGATCCCTACAGGCACACTGAAAGCCAAGTATTAATATGTATACTGCATAGAAGTAATGTTTTAAAGCATACACAGAGAATCACAGTAATACACTAGTCACAAAAGCAAACTCTGAATGAGGATGGATAAAAGGGACATATATATTGATTAGGTTTAGAATCATGAAGGACTGGGTTTCAGAATTGAAAGAACTTCCATAACGCCACAGTTGAGAAAACTGTTAACAGAGATGATCCTAGAATCCAGGTGCAGGTCTGTTTACTCCAATGATACACAAAAGAGTTTACGAATGAAGCTCTTCATGACAGCACGTGTTATCATGAGTCTAAACAAGATGGAAATCACCCATTACTTGTGACCATACCATAACAGAAAGCTATGAAACCAAACCTACATTTAGTCTCACTATGGGTTATAAATGTCCTGACATTTAAGAAAGTTCTCAGGCTGGGTGCAGTGGCTCACATCTGTAATCCCAGCACTTTGGCAGGCCGAGGTGGGTGGATCACGAGGTCAGGAGTTTGAGACCAGCCTGGCCAACACAGTGAAACCCCGTCTCTACTAAAAAATACCAAAAAAAAAAAAAAATGTAGCTGGGCCTGGTGGCGAGCGCCTATAATTCCAGCTGCTCGGGAGGCTGAGGCAGGAGAATCACTTGAACCCGGGAGTCAGAGGTTGCAGTGAGCCAAGATTGCACCACAACTCTCCAGCCCAGGCCGAGAGTGCAAGACTCTGTCTCAAACAAAAAAGAAAAAAGAAAGTTCTCATATAAATATTTTCAGTCATAATTTGGAAAAAAAAAACAGCAAAAATTAGTATATCCTTTCTTCTGGCTTCCTCCAGCCCTTGGCTCATCTTCATGCCCTGTATCATCATGTAGTACTGCAGTTTTTATGTCCCAGTGTCTACCACTCTTACAGAACACAAGAGCTTATTAATCTTAGTAGCCCTACAATATTACAGTCACAGTTCCTGCAACACAGTAGGAGCTCAATAATTGTTTCCCAACAATCTAAATCATGATTACACGAAAATGTTTAAGTATCAGTTTTAACTGATGGTCTATTAATAAGCAAATGATTATGGAGACCCGCTATGTATATGTTAAGGCTCTGTGGGGTACAATGCAGTCTGAGGCATGCATCCACGTAGCCAACTGATAAGCTGGACATGGTATCATGTTTCACACTTTTTAAATCTTTAAAAGGTGTTAAAACAGTTTGGGACAGGTGGAAGCAGATTTCAGCTAGCCTGCCAAATCTGGCCCATCATCTGTAATTTTACATCTTCAGAGCTGTAAGTGTTTTTAGTTTTAAATGTTTACATTTTAAATAGCAATATATTTACCTCAAGATCCTCAATATTGCCTTTTGGCCCATAAACCCAAAACTATTTATGCTCTGGACTTTTAATAAAAAGTTTGCCAATCTTTGGCTTAGGACAACAGTAGAATAAAATGAGACTAACCCATAAGCTGTATAGAAACACAATATTCTTGTAGGAACCAGAGCAACTAGGGATAGCATTGAAGGAGAAGTTGAGTTGGGTTGACACCAAAAAAAAGAACAAAAAACCCAGCCCAGAGAAAGAGGTATATCCTTAGTACAGTTTTCAAAAGTGGGAACATTTGGGATGGGCAAACGGGAGCAATAAATGGTCACATGTACTTAGTTTGTGTTATTATCAAACACCCCAGTAGAACAAATTAGCCTCATGACATAAAAATAGTCAAGGGGTCCAAAGTGGCTCCGGCCAGAGGTCGTGGCGCTTGCGAAGGTGAGGTCATGAGTTCAAGGCTAACCTGAGCAACCTCATAAGCTCAAACTGATTGGCAAAAAAAAAATGTTTAGTCAAAAAGTGCCCCAAATTAAATTATATTTTTAAATTACAAATAAATGTCTAAAACTTAACCATATTTTAAATACATTACTAACTCCAATATAATCAATGTCCAAGTCATGATAACGCTTGGCACCCACAATCCAGGTTACGACATAATAGGCAGTCAGCTGAAGATTGACATAAGGCCAGTTGAAACCTTTTCCCAGCCATCCAGGGAATGACCATGGCAACCCTATAGAGAGAATGGAAGAGGCAAAGGAGGTATAATGGTGTTGGTGCTACTGAAAATAAAACAAAAAAATTTTTAAAGCATTCAACTAGCAAAAAAACAATACAGATCTGACTAAAGGAAAGATTATACATGATACAAAAAGTATTGAAATCCTTTCCAATCTATAGACCCTATAATTTCTTATTGATCCCTAGAGTCAGGTTCCATAATTTCAAATGTTCTTTCCAGGAGAAACAAAAATAACAAAGACAAACACCTCTCTCAAAGACACTTACCAGTAGAAAGAAATGTACCATATGTTTTAACTTAACATCTCCACTCACTGTTGGAATGTTCAATATTCAACTTTTGTTCTTTTAGGTCAAACCAAAGAATTCTGAAAGGCTTATGCCCAACTACTCCTTTGAGTTATGTATAACACAAATTTATCATTCACTAGTACATCTTCTTACAATTTAAAGGTCCATAAAATATTAATTAAGCAATCTAATTTAGCAAAACTAGTTTGTTCTTATATCACTATAAATGACAATGACTCAATAGAGAAATATACCCTTGGTAAGTGATACACATCAAATGAGTCCATATTCTTCCAATAACTCTGATTATGTTTAAGTTAAAAAATGAGAAAAGTAGAAAAGTACTTATTAAAATTCTATATCTAAATTGTTACTAATATATTAAAATAAATTCAACAGTTATGTTCCTCAGCAATAAATATATTACCAAACTAGTTTACCACTGAAAAAAACAAAAATCAAAGTGACAAAATACTTATTTTCTAAACTCAGGAGGAACACCTAAGTGTATCACATAAGAAATGTGACATTGGAGTAATGGAATTCTTGAAGACAATGAAATGCTAAATGCAGGCTGGGTGCGGTGGCTCAAGCCTGTAATCCCAGCAATTTGGGAGGCCGAGGCGGGTGGATCACGAGGTCAAGAGATCAAGACCATTCTGGTCAACATAGTGAAACCCCATCTCTACTAAAAATACAAAAAATTAGCTGGGCACGGTGGCATGTGCCTGTAATCCCAGCTACTCAGAAGGCTGAGGCAGGAGAATTGCCTGAAACCAGGAGGCGGAAGTTGCGGTGAGCCGAGATCGCACCATTGCACTCCAGCCTGGGTAAAAAGAGTGAAACTCCATCTCAAAAAAAAAAAAAAAGAAAAGAAAGAAAGAAATGCTAAATGCAATCTGAAGGCCCACCATGTGTAAGTCTTTGTTAGGACATGGTTTAGCATGCCATATTTTCTACATTTAAATGAGGTCTGTCCTTGGAAGCAGTCCAGTGAATATGTGCTGATTCAGTGATGTTTTTACTGCTCACGGCATTTCTGGAATCTCTTACAAAAGCCCATTTATAAAGAACATACTTACTCCTAATTTCTTTTAACTTAGAAAATACTGATTTAATCCTTTAATTTGATTGTTGAGAAAATTATTTTTTAAATAACTTGAAATCAGGTCTTGAAAACGAATCATTAATTTCATTTAACTTCGTTTGAATTTAAGCCTGTTTCAAAAAATCAAATTCATTTCAAATGATGAAAAAAATCCCACCACTCTGGATGTTTGAAATGTTTCACAGGCTCTGTAGGCATTCTCACAGAACTGTGAAATGTATACAGTCCCATTTAAGCAACTAGCCAATGATCCTTCCAATAGAACCTAACCCCCACAGGTGTAGGAACTGGGACTGGTTTGGCTTCCTGAGTCCCTAGAACAGTGATCAGCATATTGTTGAAGTTCAAAAACTAACAAACAAACAAAAAACACTTCTGTATGTACCTTTTCTAAAAATGGGGTTTATTACTACATGTAGTATGCAATTTTGTAACTCATTAGGTGTATTACTGCATGTAAAATACAGTTTTATGAATGGAATTACCCTTTTACAAATACTGATGACAGATTTTGCGAAGGAAAGTAGTTTAGCATCATAGAAACAAAGAATTAGGTGCTAAAACTGACTTTGCCATTTACTGTCTATGACCTCAGGTCAGTGCCATGACCTTCTGAAGCCTCTACTGCTTCTTCATGTAAAATGGAAAGAGCCATGCCTTATTCTATAGGTATCGTAAGGACTCAATATAATATACAAAGGCACAGAAAGGATCACCCCTGACACATGCTTTGCTGCTGGCAGAATACTGATAGTATTAATGATATTATGAGTACTTCAGTATTAACAGAGATTCCACCAACATGATTCAGAACTTAAAAATTAAAGAAAAAGACATTGAAGAAACATTGCAAACTTCATTTCTTACCAATGAGTGTAATATTAGGATTCCTCTTCTTAGCTTCCTTCATTAACCACCATTCATATCCCCGGAAATAATTCTCATCTAGTGCATAGTGCATGTGGGAGGGCTCAGTGCCATCTGAACAGAGGAGAGCAAAAATGGAAGAATATGATCCATGAATGGTACTTCCTAGGACCATCTCACTCCCCCCACACACCTCCCAACACACTTCACAAAAGCAGTATTCCAGTTCTAATCCTGAAGTTGGGCAAATTATAATCTTATACAACTTAAGGATGGATGATAAAAGCATATTATTTCATCCTTTTTCATTATCTTAAGCATTGTAAAAGTCTTAATAAAACCATGACCTTCTATTATAAGCAGTACTGAGAGAAATGTTATCACTTCATATAACTAAAAATTCCCAGTATTCATTCTTCTGGGCTTTTGATCTCTCTGTGGTTTTCAAATCCCCATGTCCTCTCTCTCCGTGGTTTTCATATTCCATGTCCTCTCTCTGCAGTTTTCAAATCCCAATGTCCAACTTGTAGTTCTCATTATCTCAACTTACAGCTTATCAACTCTGGATGTGAATTCCTGAGCTCCTGAGCCCTGTTCTCAGACCCCACACCTTTAGCCTATAATATTTCTTGATATAGGAAGAGTGTTGAAAAAAAAAAGGAATGAGTATACATATCCACTCTAAGAATAACAAAATTCTACACTAACATCTGCCGTTAATAGAGGTTACATTATCATAGCCCTGAGGTAGGTAACTGCTATCAAAGTCCACATATATTCCCATAGTTCACAAACATGCTAAGTAGGGCCCTTCCAAGAGGCCCTTGCCCATTTCTTAAAAGTAGACATCAGAATTCACAAGAACTGCCTGTTTATGTATCTCTACCTTTAATTTAGCTTTAGCAAGTGAAATTAGCCTATCATTATCAATTCTGCCTAAAAGCTTTTAAGAGTAAAATGCAATAGCTTGGGGAAAGCTTCTGTTATGGAGGTTTCTTTTGTTTTTGCTTTGCACTTTTTCTTTTAACATAAACACTAATACCACCACATAGACATTATCTGTTTAACAAAGAATTACTTGCAAATCACTAGCAGGAATACAAGTATGCAGAAGATACTCTAAAGTTCATTATAATGGAATCTGACCTATAAATAATAAGCTATATCTAATCATAGAATTTTTTTTTCCTTCTTCCTGGAAACAAAAGACCTATAAACTGCTAATAGATAACATGGACTACCCAAAGTCAATCAAAATAGTTACAATGAAGACGGAAGATTTAATGATTAAAGATACTTTTGTTTTTAAAAGAAAAAAGCTGTATCTCTGAAACAGTGGTTACATACATTTTTACCACATAATAGCATTTTATATATTCTATACAAAATTAAAATATTTCTAACTCATCAATAGAATTCAAAACTGTCCCTACACTCTGTCTTGTGTATATAGGTTTTAGAAAACTGTGGACTTGTTTACTACTGATTACTTCAACTAAATAAGCAATTTAAAGTCTGAATACTGTTTTTGACAGAACAGTCATATTCTATACAATATCTTAAAATAGAGTTAAAAAATAAGGAACAATCTCATAAGCAACAATCAATCTCAAAAGCGTTTGTATTGTTTTACACATATTCTGAAATCACAGTCTATATGGTGAAGTATAGATTAAAATGCTGATGGGAGAAATCCTATCTCCTAAATTCTCCTACCTGTTGTCTGCCCGTCACCACCTATTTCCACTTTTAGAATATGCAAAGAGGCACCAAAATTCGGCTGTGAAAAGAAGTGACAGTATTAACATAGTGCTGTATTCTATGAAGCTTCAAGACAATTACTAATCACTGCCTTTGGTTTTACAGATGCAAAAACAAACGCAAAACTTCATACAGCAATTTATTCTCAAAGTAATCTGCCATTTTTTCGAAAACTAGAATTGCAAAATTAATAAATTCTATGGTGAAATTCACCATAAAGTTTCTAAAATATCACAGGTACCATGAAATAATTATTTTTTCATTACCTTAAAGAGAAAATCCAATATTTGAGAACGATAGGGCTCTGGGTAATTAACCAGAAGTCGGGAGGTTGCCTAAAAAAAAAAGTTTTTAAAAGTATGACTAAAAGAAATCCAATCATGACTGCTTGTCTACAGTGTTCATGCACACCACCTGGTATACACATAGCCTCAGGCTGTGGAAAAGCACCTCACAAGTTGTTTATCAGCCCTTTCTGTGCCAATCACTGGGCAAGCAGGGCTGCTATTTGTCTGACAGCTAAAAGGTTCTCTTCTTCTTGGATGAGGGTTAACTGGGAAGTAAGCTTGCTAACCTCATGATCACAAACTTATCTTGAAACTTAGGTTTTCTATCTTAAAACCACTTGGCAACGATATCCCAGGACTAAGATGAAAGGGATGAATCTCAGGTAATTTTTTCCCCTTTGCCTATTACTATTAAGAATAACCAGCAATAATGACCAGGCTGTACTAAGAAAGCCTAGCACAGGACAGGCCTCAGGCTGCATGGAAAGATGACAGCGGACAGTGCAGGGACCAATACTGGATCATGCCTGGACCACGACATACAACTGTTTGAAGAAAGTAATCACAAAACCAGTAACTGACCCATAATCTATCCTTTGGGAGGCAATATAAGCAAAAAATAATAAAAGAGGCAGGTTTTCAGTATGAAACAGTAGCATGTCCTCAGGCTTGTAAACCAGACAGCCTTATGTTCAAACTACTGACACTCTGCCAGGTGTATGTATGATGATTGGGACAAAATACTTCACTTTTATGGGGTTCAACTTTCTATTTTATATTCTCATATATGCTACCACTGACATTCTGGTAGAGCCCATATCTACTCTCTCATACCCAAAATATCCCCAGTCCCTACCAGTGAGACCAAGACCCATGGAGTTGCTTTCTAGCCATTCTTCCCATCCACCTCAATATATTCCAAACCAAATATAGCACTTTTGCATGTATCTGCTCCTTTTCCTGAATTTGCTGTCTAAGTAACGAATACCTGCCAAAACCATAAATTTGAGCTACCTTTTGTCCAAACTTCCCACGCACCTTCAGTCAACAAGATATCCTTAACAGTTCCTAAATCCTTCCTCTACTCTTCAACCCACTGACTTACCTAGGCCCTCCTCACTTAAGAGAGCAGTGTAACTGGTCTCAGGGCATCCCCTCTGCCTTAACCTGTATTCTATCTTACATGCTACTTACCAGAGTAATATTCCCAAAATACAAATGTAATCATGAAACTCTTCTGTAAAAACCTGCTAAGACCTTCCCTTCCCCAAAAGCTTTCAGGATAAAGTTCAAATTGCTCAATTTTGCACCCAAATTCCTTAATTATTTGGTTCCTAAACCTCATACTTTACCCCTACCATTCTCACACCTTCCATCTAGATGTATCAAACAACTTTTTCTCTTCTTACACCTGGAATGCATCCCACATCCTCTCTTGGACAACTCCAATTCATCTTTCAGCTTAAATTCCACCTCGTCAAGGAAAGATGTCTTCTGACTCTACCCACTGATCTGTCTTCTTGGGGCTCCTTTGGCACCAGGTCCATATCTCTATCACAACACTTCGAACCCTGCATTCTTACCACTCCTTTACTTTTCGGACTCACCTCTTAGTGCCTTAAAGACATAGACTGTGTCTTATTCAAGTTCAAATCCTCATTCATCGTTATTCAATAAAGACTTATTAAATATTTCATGGGATTTTTGTTGCAACAGTACAGGCAATATAACACAGAAGACTCTGAGTCAAATGGAGCTTGTCCTGATTTCATCATTTATAAGCTATGTAATCATAGGCAAATTATTGTAAAGTGGGTTATCTTACTCATTCAGCTGTTATAAGACTAAAATTAGATGTATGTAAAGGACTTGGCACATTACCTGGCACATAGTAAGTTCTCAATAAAGTCAAGTGTTATATACACAATTTTTTAAAAAATACATATTTCTCAAAGAGCTTACAACCTAGCAGGGGTTGTATTTAAATAGGCATTCTTTAAATGAACACAGTATGGGCACACTAACATATCCTTGACCCTAGATAAACAATGCTTCCTGTCCTACAGTACACCATTAAAACTGTGTGTTTTTCTGTCTAGGGTTTATTTTGCCCTCTAGGCACTCCCACATTTAACAGATAAAGTATCAGCTTTAGCTAAACACATCAATCATGCTATTGCAAACCTACAGCCACACCTAACACAACAGCATAAGTCAAAGGCAATATAACCAAATGTCAAAATGCACCATGAAGCAATAACAAATCATGGGATTACTAATCACACTGCCTGAATGAGGCCTGGAACGGTTTACAGGCCCAGGAAAAAACCCCGGTAACACTTCCTCAGTGTTCTTGAAATAACTTCCTCCTCCCAAAACTGGTTATTAAGCAAAATTAGTCACCTGCGAGACATCATCCTAAGTACTTCAGGTCCATCCTCACAATGCTCCTGCCATGCAGGTATAACTGTATCTCCCCAAAAAAGAGTGAGGCAGAGAGGAGTCATAATAAATAACCCACCAAGGCCATACAGTGAAGTGGCAGAACCCAGAATAAACTCTTGGCAATCTTCTCTTTAGTCTACATTCTTACCTACTCATTGTACCATACTGATTTCCCTCTCTGACATGAAGATTAAATGACAGCATTCTAAACTATTACTGCCACAAACTGGGATAGAGACCAAAGGCTCCACAAAGAAGTTTGAAATGGCATCTAAATATAACGTTGCAAGAATTTTCATTATTTAGTGAGTTCCTATGAGGAGTAATGCTGCATATACAGGGATACTAATAACTGCTGTAAATTATATCAGATTAGATAGGACTTTCCTACTCTGAACTATGAAATGATTCCTCTCATCTCAGTAATTTTAAATGGGGCTTAATAAACCTAATGGAAATAAAGATTTCCATTTTTCGGTAAGCTTTTACACTAGGTTTAGTATCACAAGGAAAGCTATCAAAAAGATGGGGCCTCATTTTATAAAATATTGGCTGTTTGAGGTTTAGACCAAAAACATAAAAAGGAGAATAGCAGTAGTGAAGAATAAATGCGTTAGCTCATTAGCCTACAGGATTCCCCTGAAATACACATCAGCACTGCTGGAAAGATTGCAAATTAGGGAATAAAAGCATAAAAATCAAGAAGGATCAACTAGGGGAAAAAGTTTTCCCCTAGTAGAAGGTCATATCATGTGGTCGCACTACAGGCCAGGTCATCCATGCAGTAAGCATTCAAGCTTGTTCTGAGTTGAATGTAAGGACGCAAGCTCCACCTAACTCAACCCAAAATATCCAAGAATTCAACCTTAACATTTAAAAAAAACAAAAAGAAAGAAAAAAAAAAGCCCTAGATGTAATTTCGGGTACAAAACAACAAACAAAAACTTTCTCACCCGAAGATCAGCCACCATAAAGCCCAGGGGCCCAGAGGGAGTACCGGGTAGTTTCAGGCCACTTGTCTTCCTAAAGAGACCTTGAGGCACCAGTCCTACCTCCAAACAAAAATCTTTTGGGGGGAAAAGGGGAGGGCCAGTGGGAGGGGAAGGTGGGTAGGGATAGCCTGGGGAGAAATGCCAAATGTGGGTGAAGGGGAGAAAAAAAGCAAAACACATTGCCATGTGTGTACCTACGCAACTGTCTTGCATGTTCTGCTCATGTACCCCAAAACCTAAAATGCAATAAAAAATAAAAAATAAAAAATCCTATTAGGGCTACCCTCTCTGGAAGAGCCCATCCTTACCCTGTACTGACAACTGCCCGGGACTTAACGACTCCAGTACCCGCCAACTCCCCGAAAAGGAAGAGACACAGCCAAAGCAACCCACTGGGGCGTCCGCTTTCGCACACGGACGCTCCAGCACTCCTGGCCCTTTCCGGAGCAACGCTCCTTGACTGCCTTCTGTCTCCTCGACGAAACAGCCTGGGCCCCATTGCCTGGGACGAGGGTTCCAGCCCCGGCTTCTTCACTACCTAGACCTGTCACCTTACTCTCTGGACCTTCTGGACCTCCAGATTCTCATTTATTCAAACCTAGCTGCCTTTCTGGTTCAAGTTAAACGAAAAAGCACCCGCCCCAGCCCGCGCGGGGCGGCCCCAAGAACCTGCTGACTGAAACCCTAAGAGAATGTTGCCAAGGCGGGAGCGCGCCGAAACGCAAGGCAACGCCGCGGGGGCTTATGGGGCGGGCCCCAAAGGGCGGGCTCTCGGCACCCCTCGCGTAACCCTGTGGTCCGCCGCTTACCCCGCCGCCGCTGACCCCGCCGATACCGTCGAACTCCCGGCCCAGCCCGTCGGAATCGTCGAGCACGTACGCGCCGCCGGGCGCCAGCAGCGCGCACAGCAGCAGCGGCACCGCGGCGCGGCCCGCCGAGTCCGCGGCGGCCGTCATGGCTTTCACTCGGCGTTGCTGGGAAGCCGGCAGCAGCATCTCAGCCATTGTGTCGGTCACATGACTTCGGCGCCCAGGGAGGCGGGTCCTGTCAGCGCCACGGTGGAGATGGGCAGGAGGCTGCTGACGCTGACGCCACCATTTTGAGTGCGGGCCAACGGCCACTGACTCAGCCCGCGCCCAGTTGAGGAAAGTAGAAGCGTGCTTTTTTTATGGCTTGCATGTGTGTGGTCAACCACCGGGCTTCACATGTACTTACTTGCGGCTTCTCTTCAGGCGTCACCGGCTGGAGCACTTTAACGCAAGGAAGGGGGATGTCCAAGGTCCACCAAGGGAAGAGGGCAATGAGTGGCTCTACTGTGGCTCTTCCCCAGCATCTCAGGGAGTATCTAGCTCGAGCGAGGACCAGGCTTGGACCCCAAGTCCCAGTTCCACTGTCGTCTTGGTGGAATCAGTTTGCTTTTGGAGCCTAAGTTTTCCGTTATGTAAGATGAGGCAAGGAGAGCAGCAGAGTGAGGGACTGAGATAAAAGTTAATAAGCACTCAGTACACTGAATGCATTCCATATGTGGCAAATGTGAGCTGAGAAGGTTCTCCATTCTGGTAACTACCCTGGCATATTCAAGGCTTTTAGCTTTGAAGGAGTTAAGAATATACCACTTCAAAATATGCTGCTGTGCCATATTGACTATTTTAGATTAAAGGCACTTAAAAAAAAAAAAAAACAGCAGGTGCAAAATCACTCTGATGGATGTGTCTTAAAACCAGGAGATGAAATTCCCATGTCAAAGATGTCTTCCGTATAAAATAACATTATTACCTTCAAGGACTGAAAGTTGAAGTTAAGGCAGATCTGTCCAAACAGAAGTGTGTTAATCCCTATCTTCCTAGTCGCTTCTTCACCCAATTAACTACTCTAGTCCAAGCCCCTTCACTTTATGTTTCATAACTTACTATTTTTTGTCCATTTCAGTGGATATGCTTTTAACTGCTGCTTTCGGTCTTTTGTCTGTGTGTGTGTGAGCCTTCCTCCCCACCCCCATGCCATGTAAAATAAATTTGTGTGCTTCTCTCCTGTCAATCTATTAATACCTTAAATCAGTTTAATACTAGGGTCCTGCTGGGACCCTACATAGATGAAGGTGAAATTCTGACTCCCCTACAATTTTATAAACTATCTTCCATGGTTGGTTGAAATCATTCCAGACAGATAACTCTAAATTGGTAGGAAAGTTATGAATTGCCCTGGAATTTCTGCCACATTCAGCACTGTCCTGAGATTTCTGATTTCCTTGTTATTGAAGTAAATTAAAGAGACTCTGAAGAGCTACAAAGAAAGATTTTTTGATCCCAAAATTTCTCTTAGCAGAAGTATGGAACTGGTTATCATTGTCTACACAAGCCCCTAAGATGTCACAATGGCAACAAAAAGACCCAGAGACTTTAGGACCTTTGGGAATTTGTCTGCAGAAGCTATTTGGAATCTGATTATTTTGCCACTTAACCACAAACCTAAATCTAAGTTTCCAGAACTCAATTATATTTGAAGGTCAAATCTCTGGGCAATCCCATAAATATGCATATCAGGTCCTCTGATATCCCTGGGTTCTTAATGTACATTAGCTGTGTTTGTTCTTTCTCTCTTTTTAAATTACTCTCCATCTATCCTGGTTTACCAAGGACAGTCACAACTTATGTCTGTTGTCCAAACATAAGTATTGATAATGCTCCTTTCACCCTCTGTAGTTTTCTGGCTTAGATCAGTTAAATAGTCCCCTGTGTATGAACCACTTATTTTCCTTGGTTTCTTCTCTCCCCAGTATAACACGAATCCAAACTCTGTCTTCCCGCTGCTACCAGTTTATGATGCAAGTCAGTAATTTTCCAGTTCTGTGGATTTACCCTTACAGAATTCACTGTGATCCATTTGTTCTAACACAATATTTTAAGCATGAGCTGGAGCATCTGTGGTAACCATTCCATCAAATGAATGTTAAGTTTCTCTGACCAGCTCTTAAGAAGCACATAAGACCCATGTAACACCTTTACTAGGTAGGAAATACCAAGGTGATAACAGAGGAAACTACCATACACATAAAATTAGGAAGTTGCGTGATGATATATGAATACCCAGCATACATCCTCCAGTAGCACATCATAGTGCAATGGGTCAGTGGTCAATGGTCTTGTTGTCTGAGGTATTATCCAAGCTTGTTGTCTCACAACCAAGAGAATTAAGGAGCGTGGACACCAGAGTGAAGTTGAAGGAAAAGTTTGCTATGTAAAAGAAGAAAGTTTTCTTCAGTGGAGAGGGGTCTCAGATGGGTTGCCACTTTTACAGTTGAATCCAAAAGCTTTTATAAGAAACTCCTCTGATCTCTGTAGCTGTTTGTGTAACTTATCTGTATCTGTAAAGCTGTCTGTGCAACTCCCCTTGTCTGTGCAGCTGCGGGTATGTCTTGGGTAAGCACAAAGTTCAACTTCTCTTTTTTGTGTAACTGTGGGTCTGTTCTTTCCACCCCCTTACAAGTTCTCATGGAGCCCACCATGTATGTCCCTGAAAAGTGCAGGAAACTTTTCCCTGGGAGCCCACTAATCACATAAAGACCAAAAGGCTTCTATGCTGGACCTTATTTTCTTAACAGTGCAGCTGTTGCCTGAGTTTTCCCCAGGCCACTCTATTTATGCCTGTATCTTGATTTTTTCAGGCTGTCTTTCTGTTTAAAAGAATTTTACCAAAGGCCAGCTCTAGCTCTCTACCCAACTAAGTTTTCCCTTTTCTCCTTCCTCAGATGCACCTTATACTTGGAAGGCATGCCACAAATATTTGAGTAATGTGTGAAATCTGCAAAAGAGGAAACAAACTCTAAAGGAAAAGGTAGTCCCAAGAAGTCCCAGTAGTTCCTATTCATTCAGTTATCAAAGAAATTGCTTACCAGATAAATATTTTTTCTTTCTAATTTCTAGTCCATATTCATGAGACCATTAGGCAAGAATGTTTCTAATAAGAGGCCAATAAATACAAGCTGACAGAGAACCTTGAAGTGCTGGGCACAACACTCAAATGTGCTCAAGATGCAGATAAAACTGGCAGTTACCAGACAAGTGATCATATGCTTAGCTTCCCTTGTGTCTGTGAATCAGGGTCAGTGAGATAAGATGGCAAGAGAGAAGGAAGGTCCTAATTTTCAGATTTTAAATGAGTTTAGAAAGTAATGACAGTGTTTCTCTCTTTTTAATCTGAAGCACTTATAGAATTTGCATGTCATCCTTGCTCAGGGGCCACAGTAATCTCTGTAACATTCCAATGTTCATTTATGTGCTGCCAAAGGAAACACAATGGTTTTTCTCTTAAATCACAGGTGTTTCTAGATATCACAGCTACACTTCAGCCACCCCAAATCTCTCCTTTTTTAAATTAAATGTGATCAAAATCAAATGGTCTTTTGAGAAGGATCAGAGATCCTTTAATGAAAATTTATTGATAAACTTGAATAGCAATCTGGATTTTTTTTTTTTTTTGTCCTTCCCCCCACCCCCAAGACTATCATAAAAGAGTATAATAGCATTATGTTGTCTCACTTCAGGAAAAGTCTTTACTTTTAGAAATCAGTCCACCTCCCCTTCTGTCTATCATTGATGAGCATTTAGGTTGGTTCCATGTTTTTGCTATTAGGCTGTCAGAAATTCCAGGGTGGAGGCCAAGTTTATTTCTTCTTTGTACTTCTTAAGCACAGTGCCCAAACCATGCTGAGTACTCAATAAATATTAGTTGAATTGAACTTTAAAAAAAATCACTGAATGGTGAAGAAAGAATTATTTACAAAGGGAGCTGGAAACATTTCTTAAAGTAAGAGTCCCCTGGGACATAAGAGTGTACAGTGCTTTCTCTTCATGAACTGTCCTGTAACATCTGCTATTTTTTTTAACTTTTATTTTAAGTCCAGGGGTGCACATGCAGGTTTGTTACACAGGTAAATTGCATGTCATGGGGGTTAATGTACAGATGATTTCATCACCCAGGTATAAACAATAGGTAGTTTTTTAATCCTCCCCCACTTCCCACCTCCCACTATCCACCCTCCACCCTCAAGCCAGCGCCAGTGCCTGTTGTTTCGTTCTTTGTGTTTATATGTACTTGATGTTTAGCTCCCACTTATAACTGAGAATATGCAGGATTTGGTTGTCTGTTCCTGTGTTAGTCTCCTTAGGGTAATGGCCTCCAGCTCCATTCATGTTGCTGCAAAGGACATGATCTCATTCTTTTTTTACAGCTGTTTTAGTATTCCATGGTATATATGTAACACATTTTATTTATCCATTGATGGACTGTTGATGGACATTTAGGTTGATTCCATGTCTTTGGTATTGCAAAAAGTGCTGAAATGACCATAACTTGCATATGTCTTTACGGGAGAATGAATTATATTCCTTTCGGTATATATCCAACATCTGTTATTTGTCTGGTCTTTCAACATTGGACATGTTTCTTGATTGCAGCTGTTAGTTACACTGCCCTGTTCAGTGATTTCTCCCTAACATATGTTATAGGGTTCTATTAATACAGGACTTTATATAAACAAGATGAAAATAATTCAGAGGACAGAATCCACCTAATGAAATAAATTATAAATTGCTCAATGAACATTTTTCGTAAGTATAACTACAAATAAAAGCATCTATAGTAAAGAGCAATATAGTGTAGTAGTTACAATATTGACTCCGAAGCCCCAGGTTTTCTGGCTTCAAATCTTTCTCTTATCCCTTAGTAGCAGTGTAATTTTGGTTAAGTTATATAACTTCCTTGGGCTTCGGTTTACCCATCCATAAAATAGAGATAATGATGGCAATATATTAATATGAACATTGGACAAGCTAATATTCATATAGCACTTAGAAGAGTGACCCACACATCCTATGTGTTATATGAGTGCTTATTATATAAATAGTAACATAAATGACATACCTACGTAACTATCATATAACTTTTGAGCTTACTGCTTTCCCCACAATTAATTCTGCAAAAACAGATTATTCCTATCTTTGTATTGGTCTCAATTTTTCTTTTTGCTGGGTTGTTGTCTACAGTCATTCAAATCCATGTCCAGTGTGGCTGATTCCTCACAGTGAGAGTCTTGGTGTGAAGCAGAATTCTGCCTCCTTCAGAATTAAAGGAACCAGATCCTCCCTCTTACAGCAGTACAGGTTCTGACAATGGCCAGGCTTTCTCATTCAGTTCCTTGAATCTGCAAATTTGACCTTGGAAGAGTAACTAATGTATGCACAGTTGAGAAATTTCACAAAAGCCATGTCAGAATTCAGAGGAGGCAACTGCATAGAGGCTCCATCAGAGGTGGCCTCAGGTGCCTAAAGCAGTGGGGTCAAGCAGTGCCATTCTCACCTGAATGCTCAGAGAGAGTGACCTGGCTTTTTGTCCTTTGACTCTAGCCTATTCTGCATCAATTTGTTCCATATCCTGATTTCTTTCAAAGTCATTCATTTTCTGCTCAGGTTAGCCACAGATGGTTTCTGTCACCTGCAGCAAGGAACCCTGAAGGATACACCAGGTTACGATCCAAGGCTGATGTGATAATTGCAAAGAATTATCAGCCTCAATATCTGCATTTCTCCACTGTAAAAACTGCCTTCACCACCTGTAGTCCGTTGCTGGTAATTGTCACAGCACAGATTTGCTCAAATAAAGAAATTCCAGGAAATTGTACTGTCCTCCTATGCTTTACCTGTGATATTTCTGCTCTTCCTTGGATTGTAAATACCCACTTGATTGCACTCCTGCCAGGAAAAGAATTTTAGAGTCCACCTAGCCCCAGGTACCAGACTTGAAGAAAATGACAGTACAAGAGGTTCTCACCACTCGAAATATTCTTGAAACATCTATTACAATTCTCTCTAATAGAAATATACCCAGTAGTGAGATTGCTGAATCACATGGTAGTTTTATTTTTAATTTTTTTAGGAACTGCCAGTTTTCCATAGTGGCTAAACTAGTTACATTGTCACCAACAGTGTGCATGGGTTCCCTTTTCTCTGCATCCTTGACAATGTTTTCTTTCCTCTTTTTGATCATAGCCATTTTAACAAGTGTGAAGTGTATCTCATTGTATTTTCAATTTGTGTTTCCCTTATGATTAGTGATTTTGAGCATTTGTAATATACCTGTTGTCCTTTTGTATGTATTCTTTTGAGAAATGTCAATTCAGATCCTTTGCCCATTTTTAATGAGGTTATTTATTTTCTTGTTATTGAATTGAGTTCCTTATTTATTTTAGATATTAACACCTGAGATGTGTGGCTTGCAAATATTTTCTCTCATTGTGTAGGTTGTCTCTTCACTCTGTTGACTGTTTCTTTGGATATGCAGAAGCTTTTTAGTTTAATGTAATTCCATTTGTCTAGTTTTACTTTTGTTGCCTGTGTTTTGGGGGTTATATCCGAAACATGATTGCCTAGACCAATGTCATGGAGTTTTCTTCTACCAGTTTTACAGTTTTAGGTCTTACATTTAAGTCTTAACCCATTTCGAGTTAATGTTTGCATATGGGTAAGATAAAAGTTTAATTCCATTCCCCTACATGTGAATATCTTGGTGTCCCAACACCATTTATGGAAGAGACTTCCTTTCCCCATGTATTTTTGGTACCTTTTTCAAAAATCAATTAACTGTAAATGTGTGTATTTATTTCTGAGCTTTTTATTCTGCTCTATTGATCTATGTTTCTGTTCTTATGCCAGCACCATACTGTTTTGATTACTGTAACATTGTAGTCGATTTTGGAGTCAAGTCATATGATACCCCTAGCTTTGTTCTTTTTGCCCAACATTGCTTTGGAAATTCGGAGTTATTTTTTATCCTGTATAAATTTTATGGTTGCATTTTCTCATTCTGTGAAAAATAACATTGGAATTTTTATAGGAATTGCATTGCATCTTTAGATTGATTTGAGTAGTATGAACATTTTGACAATAGTAATTCTTCTGATCCATGAGCATGGAACATATTTCCATTTATTTGTGTCTTCTTCAGTTTCTTTCATCAGTGTTTTATAGTTTTCAGCATACAGGTCCTTCATCTCGTTGGTTAAATTTATTTCTACATATTTTTATAGCTATCATAAATGAGATTATTTCCTTGATTTATTTTTAGAATGGTTCATTTTTAGTGTATTTAGTGTATAGACATGCTATTCATATGTGCGTTGATTTTGTATACTGTGAGTTTACTGAATTTGTTTATTTGTTCTAATGTTTTTTGATAGAGTCTTTATGGTTTCTTATATATAAAATTGTGTCATTTGCAAACAGGAACAATTTAACCTCTTCCTTTTTAATTAGGATATCTTTTATTTCTTCCTCTTGCTTAATTGCTCTAGCTAGGACTTCCAGTACTATATTAAATAAAAATGCAGGAGTAAGCATTCTGCCCTGTTTCTGATCTTAGTGGGAAAGCTTTTAACTTTCACTATTTAGTATAATGTGAGCCATGGGTTTGTCATATATGGCCTTTATTATGTTGAGGTACATTCCTTCTACACCTAATTTATTGAGAGTTATTATAAAAGGATGTTAAGTTTTGTCAAATGCTTTTTATGCATCTATAGAAATATCAAATGGCTTTTGTCCTTCATTCTGTTAAAGTGATGTATTGTGAAAGATCCTGTTTATGTGCTGTTGAATTCAGTTTGCTAGTATTTTGTTGAGGATTTTTGTATCTTATATTCATCAGGACATTTGTGTGTAATCTTTTGTTTTGTAGTGTTCTTTCTGGTTTTGGTATCCAGGTAATGCTGGCCTCATAAAATAAATTGGGAAGTATTCCCACTTCTCCAAATTTTTTTGGAAGAGTTTGAGAAGAATTGGTATGACTTTTTTAAATGTTTGGTAGAATTCAGCAGTGAAGACTTTAGGTCCTGGGCTTTCCTTTGGTAGTAGACTTTTTATTACTGATAACATTTCCTTACTTGTTATTGGTCTCTTCAGATTTTCTGTGTGTGTGTGTGTGTGTGTGTGTGTGTGTGTGTGTGTGTTTAATGTTTCAGTCTTGGCAATTTGTATGTGTCTAGGAACATCTCCATTTCTTCTAAGCTACCAAATTTCCTCTTCCTATAAGGACGCCAGTCAGATTGGATTAGGGCCTTTCCTTGCGGCTTTATTTTAATTTAATCACCCCTGTAAAGGCCCTGTATCCAAATGCGGCCACATTCTGAGGTACTGAGGATTAGGACCTCAGCATATGAATTTTGGGGAAGGACACAATTCAGCTCATAACACCATCTCAAAGTCAGGGACTTTTCATGTTGCCAGAGCTGGAGGGTAGCTT